AGTCTGGCTGACTGTCTGTCGACCTGCCGAACATTTAGCATTTGAACTTTTGCAGGAGTCCTTCGACTAATGGCGCAAGATGATTGAACATTTCAAACAACAAAGAAGCATCTAAACAGAAACTGAGCACATGAGTGTGTGCACCTTTGCATTTTGCAGCTTTGCATATTACACAAATGAGTGCATATAAAAAGGTGAAAGGGGGAGGGACAGCAGAGTGACTCCACCACCTCTGCACCTTCCAGTCCTCCTGCTTATGTATTTGTCTGTATTAGTTAGCTCCTTAAAATTAATGTCATCCAGCAGAAAATAGAGGCTGAAAGCTAAAATTCAGCACTTTCCAGGCAGCCTGGTTATTTATCAAGCTAACAAGGAGAAGATGCATCCCGCTTCAGCCGGGGCCTGGGAAATATGTGCCATTAAAAAGCCCCAGAGCTATAGTGTGTAAGAGATGGGGGGGGGGGAGTGAGGGGTGTCAGGAAAGAGGGGATGGACGGCGTCGCCCCGCGATATGGATGCAGGAAGAGCAGCAGACACATTTATAAAAAGAGACAACAGAAGAAGTTAGAGGAAACACAATCCTTATTCTGCATGTGCTGCATGTGTGGATGTGAAGTGCTGATTGTGCTGGTGGCTATAAAAGACGATTCCTTTAGGGGATACAGAAGACGTAGTTTGGAGCTTTTGAATAAATCATGCGCTGCCACAGTGAGCTTTAGCACTAATTTTCTCTTTAGGAGCGGGGGTGTTGAAACGCGTCCCGGGGACTGTTAGCATTGTGCCGTGTTAACATCTCTGTGTAGCATCAGGAGCTAACGGCGCCGGTGTTGGAATTCAATTAGACGCTGGGTGCAACGCTAAGCAGCTAGCATGGGGCGGTCACCACAGGGGGAAACAGAGAGGAGGGGATGGTGGAGGAAAGAAGATGTGTGTGTGTGTGTGTGTGTGTGTGTGTGTGTGTGTGTGTGTGTGTGTGTGTGTGTGTGAGAGAGGAGAAGGAGGCTGCAGGCAGCAGGAAGGCCCTGGGCTGCTGGCTGTACGGTGATTCAGGGGAATACATTATATCAGTGACACCCCGGGCTCATCACAAGTTCCTCTCTCGATCACACACACTCACAACCTGAGGACAACAGTGGCTCTGAGGCTGACACACACACACACACACACACACACACACACACACACACACACAATGGTAACAGCTTTACAACTAATTACGTTTGAATAAAATAACAGAAAAACAGCTTTTAAACAAGTGAAACACGGGAGAGAAAATGATTAACATAAGTTGAAAAGAGGGAGAGAGAGTTGATGTTCGGAGGGCTGGCTTGCGGGGTTCAGTATCATCTAGTCTGTGGTTTAGAACAAGTAAAAAAACACACAACACGTTTTTGAAAACAAGCCAAATCTAAACACAGCGTTCACTTTGTGTGTCTTTAAAACTGCAGAGACAGAGAGAATCTTTTTTCCTCTCTTTATTAATTTATTACACTCATCCAAATCTGGTTGCTATACCTCTCTTTTTTTCAGAGCAGGCCTCAAGAATGACCCAAACATCCTCCTCTGTCACTCTGTTTGTCTGGATGGAGGGATGGTGTCTGTGTCGAGACTGTAGGAGTGTAACGAGTCTCACATGGAGCAGCGAGTAGTTCTATATTTATCCCATGGTGAATAAATGCAAAGGGGAAGTGTGTCAGATTGTGGATCTTCTCCATCTGCAGTCTTTAGGAAGTCAAAATGAAACTAGAGAGAGCCGGTATGAACTAAAGGGGAACAGGTGTGTATAAAAAACAAAGGTAAGGACAAACATAAAGAACAGGCGTATTTAGGTAAAAGGGGTTAACTTGTGGAATTAAGAATGTGTAGTTCACTTTCCAGATTTAAAATTTTTGTTTAAAAAAGAATGGTGTTTAACAAAATATAAAAGGTTGGTTTGATTATTTTTTTGTGATTGTGACTTCTGTTTTTTTTTTTTTGGTGTTTTTTTGTGTTTTTTTGTGTTTTTTTGTGACCAAACTAGTCGTGTCTTAAATTATAAGATTTGTAAGAAGACGTGTAATAAGCTAAAGCTTCAGCCTACACCTTTTCGGTCAAAATGTTTTTGTTTTTTTCTTTCTACTACTACAAATGAAGTGTTTAAATTCTGTGGAATTTTTCTTAAATATTAGATATAGTTTCATTATTCCCTCCAGTCCAGTCCAGTACACTGCACATTAACACGCCTAAACAGATATCTTCATCTATAGAATGATCCACTTTCTGCCAAGTTGATGTTTATATTTTTTCCCAAACAATCAGCCGTGTTTAAAGCTTTTTTTATTTACACCTATTTCATTGACTTTTTTTCAGTCATGTCCATGCACTGTCCATTTTTTCCACTTAAACACACCTTTTCTTTTCTCCCTCTATCACACTCTCACACACCTTGATGTGTGCGCATGTAAGCGTGTGTCCTTCCTCCTCTGCCGTGTCTACACTAAACCTGACCTGCCTGCTGTCAGCCACAGAGGCACCTTGCCTCCCTGCACCCCCCCCCCCCCCCCGAGTGGCCGACTCACCCCGTCACCATGAGGGGGGAAGACGAGTCGTGGAGAGAGGGGGAGGAGGAGGAGGTTCAGGGATGATAACGGGGGGGGTTGAAGGGGTGGAGAAGGGGAAAGTGGGGTTGGTGGTGGAGGTGCGGGGGGGGGGGGGGGGGGGAGGGGGAGGAGTTGTGGATGGGTAAGGTGGGGGCTTCTTCTTCAAATGTGCCCTCTCCTCTCCTGCGCCTGTGACCTCAGAGCTTCTGACAGCCAGAAAAGTGCTGAAGCATGCAGGTGTCCTCACGCCGCAGACACACACACACACACACACACACACACACACACACACACACACACTAATGCTGGAACACGTGCTCCACACACGCACACACACACACACACACACACACACACACACAGACACAAGCAAACAGACGCAGGTGTCCTATCTTAGCAGCCTGCACATTTTTTTTTTTAACTCTTTCACCACTTCCATCCTCCTCCTCCTCCAGGTGACACTACTCCTCATATTAAATGTCAGACTTCTGTCTTTTTGTCTCGATATTTAATTTATAATAATAAAAAAATGAAGCTGTAGTGAAGTGCTAAATCGATGATATAAAAAAAAGCCTCACAATGCTGAGCACATGAGGAAAGTAGAGTATTCTGTCTGCTGTACAGTAAAATTAGCCCCTGCTGATGCTGTACTTTCCTCTGTCCAGCCTCTCCGCTGTAAAAACCCTGAGGTGTCCACAGAGTGTCCTGTCCTGTCTGAGTGTGTGTGTGTGTGTGTGTGTCTGTGGGGGGGGGGGGGGGTTAGGGTTAGAGAGTTGTATTACAGTGGTGATGAGTCGCCTGGCTGCGAGGGATGATACCTCAGCAGCACCCAGCATTGACCAGGCCTTTAAATAAAGCCTTCGATCCTCCAGCAGCAGAGAAGGTCACCGGCTGCCTCTGGTTACCCTGCCTGTCTGTCTGTCTGCAGCCGCGGCCAGGAGCCCATCGCTCCCTTCCTTAGCCTCCTCACCTCCTCCTCCTCCTCCCCGCTCACCCCTGGCATGCATGTTAGCATTTAAAATCCAGATAACTTTCTGCCTCCCTAAACTCTGCTAGTTTTAAACACTGCATCCTCTTTTATGTTTCAGGTCTTGGGTGTTTAAACTCCACATGTTAGTCAAGGAGCAGGAGTCTGACCTGAGACATTGAAAAAGAGGACAGTACAATCATTTCCCCCCTCACAGGTGAGTGTTGCAAGCATTTCACAGGGCTGCATAAAATCCACCATGGTTACTTACTCAAAATCGTCTACATTCCTTCCATGCAGCAAACCAAATGTATGCAGGAAATTCCATCGACGTAAAAATTCTATCCTCTTATTTTTAATAAAAAGATCGTGATTAGTAAAGAAAATCTTAACAGTTCAATAACATTCACTGAGTTTTGGACGCCCAAGTTTTCAATCAATTTCAATTCCATTCATCTTTTTTTTCTCTCCAACCAAAAAAACTCGCCCTAGCTTTTCCCCTTCTCTACCCTCCCACCATCCGTCCGTCCATCTGCATGTCAGCCAGAAAAATAAAAAATAATCTTCAGTGTTTTTTTCTCCGCAGAGAGAGGCAGAGAGAGTGAAGGAGGTCAAAGGGTTGAAGAGAGAGAGAAAGATTTTGGCACCATCCCATGAGCACTGCCAATGTCACCCTCCTGTCAATCAAGCAGTATACTGTCAGAGCCCCCAAAAACAGAAAAGTGCGACATCACACACGGCGGACAGCGTCACAGAGATTCATAAGAAATGAAAAAGTAATCCCCTCCTCAGTGGCTTGTGTTTGTGTCCTTTTGAAGGAGATCACTACAATTCTTATTGATTTCACACAAAGAGATCTTACTTTATATCTAAGGTGAAATATAAACTTTAATAATAAAATACATTATTCAAATATCAGGATTTTTAAAACGTTTACGTTTAAAGCTCCTGTTTCATTGTTTGATTTTTATGCTCTGAAAATTTGTCTTCAGTACTGATGGCTTTGAAATCAAACAAGAACAACATTTATAAAGAATTCAAATCGTGCTGATGATCTTGAAAACACTTTCAGTGTGATTTATAATTTAATTTATAATATAATTTTTTGTTCCCTTTTCTTCTGGGGAATAACTGAAGTAAAGAAAATGTTATCGATATAAAGTCGTTTTTTAAATCAGTCCATAATTTGGATTAGTATGTTAAACTAATGGCAGCACATGAAATACTCCTGGATCTGTTTTTTTATTCAGAAGGACAGCTCGAACATGACGTGCTGAATTGTCATTCGGCAGACGAGAAATTCAGAACGTAGACGTTTGTTATCCAGAATGTCAGACTCTTGGGAAGTTTTATGTTTTATTTTACTTTGTGTTCAATATTGAAGCAGTGTAATTTGTGTAATATGAATATGTGGTGTAAAGTCAGGCGGTGATAAAAGACTAAACAGGACAAGTTACCTCAGACTCCCGGGATGTGGGACGGAGAGGTCAGAGCTCTGTATCACAGGTGGAGGAATTTTCTTGATGTCCTGCAAAGATGGAGGACAGAAAGTTTTTAATAAAACACTCAGAGTAACAAAATATTCAAAATTGACTTGATCTTTTAAAAATCTTGGACCGAGACATAAATATATTTATATTTAAATTGACATGCATGCTGATTTCATTAAAAAAGACTTTCTAACACTGACAAAAGTATAATTATTAAATACATAAATGGTTAAAAAATACATTTAAAATAGTGTTTTATGAAAAGTGTAAACAGAAATACACTGGAGCAGATCAGACTCTCCCACAATCAACATCAAGATATCTGAATCAAATTGTCTGTTGATAAAACCGATCTAATATTTCAGTCGACCAGATGTTCGATAAAGAAGAGGAACAAACACACACACACATACACACACACACACACACACACGCACACACACACACAGAAACACACACACACACTCTTATTGCAGTGATTACCAAAAGGAATCTATTCATGAACGCGTACCTAAAATAAATGGAAGATTCTAATATAATATTCTACAATATACATATTTTTTTTTAAATCACAGTTTAAATGAGTGATTTAAAATAATCACACTGAGATCGTATCATCATATACATGATCATATTTTGTCAGTGAGGACTCTGGATAAAGAAAATCCGCAAATCATCCTGACAAACTTTCCTCTGGCCTCGGTGGAGTGAACGAGGGGAAGGAATCGACAAAGTGTATTAATTCCCCTCAATCCGTCTCTTGCCACAAAGAGAGCCATTCATTTCTCTGTAATCTGATTCACACTGAGGCCAAACGGACTCTGACCCATTCAAGCCACACAGCAGCTCCCAGTGACACAACTGCATGCAGTCACCTGAAAAAAAAACGTTCTGACACGCACACACTTGAACACACACACACACACACACACACACACACACACACACACAAGTGTGTCAGACTGAACTTAACTCTATAGTTGCTCAGCTGTATCACCAAGAGATATGAGTCTGCACAAAGCTACACACAGCTAAAGGTGGACAAACCTCGAGCATGATGAACACACACAGGGTTAGTGACAGAGCATCATTCACACACACACACACACACACACACACACACACACACACACACACACACACACACACATACGCGCACACATGGAAGCATGCACTCCTATGCATGCACACAAAAACTTCCAGGCATACTTTCATCGCATGTGTCTACTCTGTGTGCACTCATGTTAACTAAACAGACACACACACACACACACACACACACACACACACACACACACACAAACAGGCTGGGCTTGGCAGAGGGCGGCTACATGGCAGCAGTGTGTGGGGTCAAGGCCTTTCCCAGGTACAAATGAAAGGGAGAGAAGAGACCGTGGAAGAGCCAAACAACACTGTGGGTCACCTTGCCTGACAGAGGGATCAATGTCTGTTTGACTGGCTGAGAGAGAGAGAGAGAGAGAGAGAGAGAGAGAGAGAGAGAGAGAGGCTGACTGCAGCAGAAGGGTAAATCACCCTCTCTCCCGCTTCATTGAGATGCAGGTAAAAACACACAGGGGTCGGGCTCGGCTCCAGATCCATCCTGCATAACACCAACTTGTGCATGCGCAGATTTTAATGCTCACACACACACACACACACACACACACACACACACACACACACACACGCATTAAGTTGCACAATGAACTCAGATTTCAAAGATCCCATGCAACGCCATTCTAGTGCCGTCTATAAAACACACACACACTCCACTGACTCTGTGCCCTGCAACTCAACTCAGTGAAAACATCAACACAGCCCGAGCTCTGTTTATCTGCAAGTGAGAATATTGTGATCACATATCATTGAATCGTAATTAGCTTTCATCTATTGCCCTTTAGTTATGCATTCTGAGGAGAGGCTTCTTTATGCCAGCAAATGCAAATGTAACGGTTTGGATTCTGCTAAACACTACATGTGCACATTCTTCCCAGTAATCTTTCATTCGACCACAGATACACACAATCACATTTACTCCTTTGCCCATGTTTCTGTATGCTTGATAAAATAAGTGCATGTAAAGCCAATTGAGCCGGATATATACTGACTGTGGAGGCAGAGGCAGCAGCACAAACCTGCTTTACAGCTGCTGCATTCTCACCACATGCATCGCCCGCGACAGGAGGGGGGACAAGTTAAATTATTAGGGGTTTCAAATAAATGACACATAACTCAGGAAACTGCAAAACTGAGAGAGAGAAAGAGAGAGAGAGAGAGCTCTGCTGGTCTGCATGATGGACGCAGCGCAGAGGAACATAAACAGCAGCTGATTTAAATCACTTTAAATGTAAATGTTTATCGCGTGGAGTGATGCAGATGTGGACTGAGTGGAAGAGATTGAAATTGTTTCCTCTTTTGAATGCAAATATGTTTGAAGCATAATGGGGGGTTTTGAGTCGTCGGAAAGGTTTTCGCTCTCAAGGTAAAGAAAAATAAATCTACACTTCAGGTAATTGTTGTGTTGAAAGCAACATTTTTCACTCCAGTTATTACAAGTTGTTGTTTTTTGTAATGGTTAACTAATTCAATTCAGTTCAAAGAATGACAATAAATGTTTATAGATATTATTCTGTTTTTTTTAGGTGTTTTAAAGTTATACAAATTTAAATTCATCAACTAACAATAAAATACACTTTAAATAATTATTGTTTGAAGTCCAAAAAAAAAAGAAATCTATCTGCTGCTCTTAAATAAATTGGGGTGTAAGTGCTATGAAAATTAATACAGCTGCAATATTGAGCACATTTATGCACCTTCTCATTTTTCTTTGAGATAAAGTCAAGATTATTTTTACCTAAAGATGTTTTGTGCAGGTTTTCTGTTGATTGACATTAAAAGCTACTCGCATCCCAATGTCATGATAAAACGAGTCAATCCTATAGATTAAATGCACTCAGTTAAAAGCGTATATACACTCCCCTTCCACAACAAGGTCAAATAAAAGACAACGCCGGCTGCTCATTGGACACTCACACAGACACTTAGAAAACTCTGCACATCCGTTGTCCTATTAATCTGCAACATTAAAGCAGAGCACACGATGATGATTCAAATGTCGATACTGATAAATTTCAAAGTGATTTCCCATAGTTGACCTGAAAGAGAGAGTCCAATATTGTGACAGCAGACAACTGCATTATCTTTAATAACCTAATCATTGGACAGACTGCAAATGATCACGGCACACAAGTCAATAGACGCATGCAGGGCCAGAGAATGGAATTACAGTTCATACTGATAAGATTAATAATGTGCTGTGTGTGTGTGTGTGTGTGTGTGTGTGTGTGTGTATGTGTGTGTTACATGTCGAGACTTTTTCATGCTGAGAGGAAGCGTGAGGCCGAGAGAGAAGCTGAGAAATGAGGAGGATGTGCTGAAATATTGTTTCCTGTTTCCTTCTGTCCTCCTTTAACACAGGAAGTGAATCTGTGTTACTTTTTCCTCCGGCCCCTTACAAGTCAAAACAACACACACACACACACACACACACACACACACACACATACAGAGAGAGAGGGGGGGGGACAGAGAGAGAGGAAGAAGCACCCTACTCTATTTCCACACCTCCTCATCAGCAATCTTCCACTTTATTATTTATTATGTTAAATACCCGAGCACACTGTTAACCCCCTGAACCTGCACTGTACACACAAAGAAGACCGGCCTGTCACTCACACTGTCGATACACAGGCAAGGGTCCAGGTAAAAACTGTCCCGAGGGCTAAGTCCTGAGACTTGACTAATCCTATATCTACCTCACAGAAGAAAGAGGAAAAAAGCCTCCCCAGTCCCAGCGTTATAACACAAATGTAATTAAATAGCACACTATATTGACCTAATCAGATAGCAGGGGCCATAAATTAGTGGACACATGCTCACTAAAAGGCCCTCTCCTCTCAGCTAGGAGGCATCTCTGATCGTTTATCATCTGAGAGGAGCAGCCAGCATCTCTCTCTCTCTCTCTCTCTCTCGCTCTATCTCTGTCTCTCACTCACTTTTAATCACAGAGGAAATCATTCCTGCAGGCATGACAGGATCATGCTCTACCATCTTGTTCCTCACTCTGGGGCCAGTATGGAGCCAGGAGACTGTGCAGGTCAGACACTGTTGCACAGGTGAGACACAGACTGAGTGAGTCTTTGTGCATTTGAACGCATCACTGCTGGGCATTTGAAAGTTTAAAGCCACACACACATTTTAAATGAACAATTCCTCATTATTTTCACACAGGAACATGCAGGCACCACGACACCTTCCTTATATTCTTCCAAAAATAACAAACGCGACTGCACACATGTCCAGCAGCATGTATTGTGCTGTCAGTGACGTTGTATTGCGTCACGATCAGGACCTTGCTTTTCTTTCGTGCATGCTGCTGGCCTATATGAAGCTAAGGGATGAGGCAGGTTATAGAGGCTATAGCTGACCTGCCTAAACCTAAATCACTCCCAGAGTCTTTCTCTGTCCACTTAGTAGGACGTATTGTCGGAAGTCAAATAAACGATGTTTGCACTGAAGTGAAAGTGGATTGCAAAAAAAATACCTTTAAAAAAGTTTGACAGCAAAAACTAAATTGTCAGATTAAATGTCCTTGATGTATTTATTCTCTTACTGTAAGTACTTGTAATCATATTACTACAGCATTATATTGATTTGTTCGGCAGCGTAGTTTATTTTAATACGGAATTAAAAAAAGTTATAATTCACATTTAAAAAATATAAACATTTGAAAGTACTTATATATACATATGGCTTTATGTTTCCTCTGAATCTTTGTCTTCGAACAATTTGACATGAAACTTTTTGCCCTAGACAATATTCAACAGGTGGACAGCCGCCGAGCAAAAAAAGTGCAAGTTTGCTGATCGTTGATCATTAACTCAGCCTTTTTCTAGGACAGCTGCAGCACAAATGTAAGGCCATGAGGTAAAAAAAAAATAAAAATCTATAAAAAAAACCTGAACATTGAGGTCGGATTTTCTGCACGTTTAAAAAAAACAGATAAAAATGAAGAGTTTCTGTGTTTAACTGCGCAACAGGTACAGAACGTCGTCTTTTATTTCTCTCATCAAAACATCAACGAAACATCTCAAAACAGAACACCGTTTTTTTCGGGTGGGAATACATGCATGTTTTATAAAAATATAATTTAACTTGAACATCATTACGCACATTAGAGCCGGACTTGATCTCCAGGCAGTTATAATTACGCGCCTCATGCGCAACATCTGCACCGCGGTTTTAAGCTAAATCCAGATGTTCCTGAACAGATGTTTAACTCGTGTCACTGACATTTGTAATCGACATCTTCTGCTTTTGAATAGATTTACATTTGGATCGACAGAAGTTGATCAGACTGACAAAAAAAGACAGAGACAAACAAACATGCAAAACCAAAAAGAGCAAAAAACGTAATAAAAAAACATTTTCAGGAGAATTAATTGGTTTCCAATTCCATCCATGACGGTTTATTGTTAAATGGCATATTTATCAAATTCCATTTTAAAGAGTGAACACGATGTCATGAAGCTGTACTGTCCAGACAATAGACTTTTCCTGCAGCTATAGAAATCACAAAAGATATATGGTTGCATTTCATGCTTTGCTTACTTATGTGTAAGGTATATCAAATGTACACTTTGACACAGTTCACGGTTTATTTACCGAATGACACCCTTAGGGTTGTGTAACAAACTTAACTGAGCTTACTACTGAAAGTAAAACAAATTAAGAAAAACAAAATACAATAAGAAGAAAGAAGAGATCAATAGTTGTTGCAATTTTGTGTGACAGAGTCTATTTCTCTTTTTATTTCAGGACATGCATCAGAGTCTATTGTTCATTTCAAAGCATTTTATCATCAGCGCACTTGTTGATCGCATAAATCTATTTAGTTTGGGCATTTTTGGGTGGGGTGGAGAGGGGGTGTATTTGTTTTTATAAAATATAATCTGATGCTGCTCACCTTGATGGTATGTTGCCAGTCAGCAGGCCTATAAATCAATACTGAGTACAAACATGTCTTTACTCTGTAAGGGCTCCACAGAAGCCTGTAAAAATGCAGAAGTGTCCAAGATCGCGGAGAACTTTTTTATAAAGCAAAGTTCCCGCTGAATGCTCTTATTCACCTTCTTCTTCTTCTTCTTCTTCTTTTTTTTTTTTACAAAGGAATCCATAAAATTTGACGAGGTTGAACAATGCATGTAATCATCTGACACACACACATACACACACACACAATAAAAGAAAAAAAGAGTAAAAAAAAAAAAAATGTAAATCCGTGTAGGCTACATGACCAGCATGCATGGCTTCACAAAACTGTCAGACAACAAACGTCCTCCAAACGTTTTTCAGCAGCTGACTTTGGAGGATTTTAGACAAATATGAATGAAATGAGAATGAGACCATTCATATAAAAAAAAAAATGGACTTCAAAGAAATATAAAAATCACATCAAATTGAAGCTGCTGTCCCTGAGGATTGTTTCATTTCACACCCAAAAAAAGGATTGATAAAGTGAACAGCATGGACGAGGCTTTTTTTTCAGTGTCTCAAAACAGAAAACCTTAAAAAAAATGTTTTTTGTCAAAACTGGATTCTTATTTAAATCATTAAGACATTGCTATTTGTGTTTCTTTACAGGTGATCACACGTCAAATCAAAATCCCTCACTCCTAAAGAAACTGTTATAAAAGTTAAAAACTCGTATGTCTTTATCTAGCGCAGGGATAAATACCCTTTATCTAAAAACCTGGGCAGCAAAAGCTATTTAAAGCTGCTCGTGAATTAAAAGTTTTTTTCCGCTTTCTTTGGAAAGGCCGATACTAAAACTTTTTCAGCGCCGGGACTCACATGAAAAACTCCGGGGATGAGGGGTTGTTGTCGCTGGCGGAGCCCCCGTTTTCTCGGAAGCCGGTGCTGATGAGCTTCTCGTATTTCTCTTTGTAGGCGTCCCTCTCCCTGGCGAGCCGCGAGATCTCCTGCTTGAGGTGGTCCACCTGCTGTATGAGCTGCGTCTTCTCTCCCTCCAGGACGTGCCGCTGCTGGACCCGCTTGTAGCGGCAGGACTGGGCATAGCCTCTGTTCTTTAGTGTCCTCCTCTTCTGTTTCAGACGGATCACCTCTTCCTTGCTGACCCCCCGGAGCTGCCGGTTCAGTTCCCGCACCGACATGGTCACCAGCTGCTCGTCCGAGAAGCGGTCGTCCAGTCGCAGGTGCTGGTGGTTTCCTGCGCCGGACTGAGACCCGGAGGAGGGGTGGTGTGACCCTGGGTGGTGGTGGTGATGGTGATGGTGGTGGAGGTGCGGTGTCCCGTTCTGAGCTGCGGCTGCGGCGATAACCGCGGACACCACGGCGGCCGCTGATCCCATCTCCTCCCCGCCCATGGTGCCTCCTGGCCCGGCTGCGCCACCGAACTGCTGCCCCCTGGCATAGCCATCGAAGGTCTGGAGCTGGTGACTGCTGCTGATCAGCGCCTCTACGGCGTCCTCCGGGCTAAAGCCCAGAGCCTCGGGGTTCAACTGCTGTTGGTACCCGGTCATCCAGTAGAAATCCTCCAAGTGCGCTTTCTGTTCGCTCCCTGATCCCGGACTGGGCGCCGAGAAGCTTGGCGAGGGGGGAACCGAGCTGCAAGGCGTGCTCATCGGGGTGGAAGACAGGGATCCCCCGGCGACCAGGCGGCTGCACTGGCTGATGCTGCGATCGGGCTCCACCGGCTCCTTTTTCACTTCAAACTTCATCAGATCGAAGTCATTAACATATTCCATGGCCAGGGGACTGGTGGGCAGGTCGGAGTTGCTCATTGCCAGCTCTGATGCCATCCTCTTGCTGTTGACAGTCCTCCAAAGGGGGTGAGGAGCACCTGTCAAAGTGGGCTGCTGAGACACGCACTGAGCCAGCTTGATTTCTTTATTTATTTTCTTCAAAAACCGGAAGAAAAAGTGGGTTTTCTCGCACTAATTGCGCAGCGCAAGGTTTTGGTTTTGTGCGTCGATAAGTTTTTTTTTTTTTCCTTCAGCCTGTGTTGCACAGACGCATTGGAGCAGCGCTGTTTCCTCCCTCTCTCCCAGCGTGCGGCTGTCTGAGCGCCGCTCTTTCTGTTTCTACCATTTAACACTTCATGGCTCCTTTTAGGATTAGTGCGCCAATTTGAGGAGGTTCACGTACGTGTCCCGGCCAAATAGTTGCTTTGTGGTGAATGAAAAAAAAAAAAAAACTCCACCCAAGGATTGATAGATTTTTTTTTTCTAAGGGGATCAGTCAGCCTACGAGTTAAAAAACATTGCTTACTCTTATAGGAGCCCTGACGTCAGGACTGTAATATGAAATTGACCGAGACTCAGCCAATCACGAGCCCAGCCTGGAACGCCAATTAGCATAATAGTATAGAAAGCAAAGTTTTCTCAACCGTCCGAGCACAGCTGATTGACAAACGAGACTTTAGAGGCACATTTTTGTCACTTTTGCTCGAAAAAGCAATCCATTAAAAATACAAATCAAAGAACATACAGGAGACTGCAGACATGATTATGTCATTTATATGTTATTATCAAGTTTAAAGTCTGCAATATCTTTAAAAAATGCAATTAAAAACCATTATCATTTAAATTGAAAAAGCAATTTGTCAAACATTTTGATTGCTTCATGACTGTTCATCAACCAGGTGTTGTAACTCCTCATTTATTTAATATGTTGATATAAAAACACTTTTATAAGTGTCTTTCATTAATTACTTATATTTTTAATGAAGGTTTAAACAATCATTTAAGTGTTTCAGTCGTTCCAAACATCCGTTTACACCTAATTGTATCTTTGAAGATTCTCACTGAGCGATTAGATAAATAACCTGTAAACAACCTAAAAATCGCATAATGACAATGGATGAAGCAATTCATTTTTTTTTCTTTTTTCAGGATAGTGAAAGTGGTTGAAAAGAGCACGGCAAGGGTCCGTTCAACGGCACTGTTTGGAAACCCAACGTCGCCACCTTGAGGTATAAAGTAATATTGCGTCTAATGGACTCATGCGGTGTCCAAATAGATAGAATCTTTATTATCATTGTATACAAGGACACAACTAAACTTTGTTAGCAGCAATCCTAAACAGCAGCGTTTACAAAAACAACAACAACAAAAATATATTTGTGGTGATATGAAAGAGAAATATGTAAAAAGTGGCCAGAGCAATTGCTGTTCAGTGAATGAATGATAATAATAATAAATAAATAGACAGTTGTGGTGACTTAAAGAATATATACAGTTATTATTTGCAGTGACTGATTAATTAAACAAATATAAATATAGAGATATAGTGCAAATAAGTGAAGTTATAGTGCAGCGACAGAGTAGATACAGTTATTATTGTGCAGTGACTGGATGAGTAAATAAACTGTTTTAGTGCGATGTATCTATCTGCTTTGAATGAACACGTTTATTCCATCATCTTCTTCTCCCATATCTGCATCTGTAGAGTTTAAAACGGGACAAACATTTACTTCCTGAACTCGCCATGACAGAAAGAACATTTGTTGTTCATAAAATGAATTCTACAAGTGTGTGCTGTGGAGATGAACTTACAATAAATGAAAGTAAGCAACTTTAAAGCCTTTTACAAAAAAAAATCACTTTGTAGGGACAACCCCTCCATCTGTTTGCTTCTGGAGTCTGTAGTCTCTTCATGTAATGATCACAGCCTCAGTGCTTCCTCTCTCTTCTGTCTTCTCTCCTGAAGCACATTCCTCAGGAGTGGTGGCACATAAGAACAAACAATAAGGAGGGCCTATACACAGAGGACCGGAGAGTAAATAAGAGCACTCTCCCTGGAACATGTCACACAGGGGGGGGAAGCTTCAGAAAACTACAAAAGCCGCCAGCAGATAATCCAACTCCCTGGTGTCCCCCGACGACGCGAGTAAATATTCTCCTGGTCCCTGTGACTGTTCATGGGGACTTAACGTTAAACAGGAAGCGATAAACATCGTGTTTTATTCATCAGAACACACAACAGAGGCCCCTCTGATGCTTTTGAATTAATATTTAACAGATGAGGAGGTGTCCCATCTGATGCTAAGACATCATGTTGATGCGGTTGTAGTGTAGTGTAAACTCAGACTGGCTTAAGATTTAAAAGAAGAAGCAGATCTTCAGAGATCTTTTCTACCATAATGTAACACTTTGACCACATTTTACTTGGTTCAGTCGGTTGTTGCAGATTGTCTGGTTCTGATTAAAGTCTTTCTATGTGATTTTTCACACTTAAATATAAATCAAGTATCTCCTCTGAAAATAACTCTGAGTCATGACTGTCTACAATGGGTGTAACACCCGAGTCCCACTGTCTGTGATGTTTTCAGAGTTTTCAGAGTCCTATCTTCACTTTGTTTACATCGCCCGGACGGCCGGCTGACTCCTCCCCTCGTGTATAAAAGTTGTTTAATTGAGGGACTAGAGAAAAGAAGAATAACATACTGTACTCACTGCTTAACTGTGTTTCTAGATCACGCTCATATAAAGCCTTTAAAGTTTCTGCCTGTTTAAAGGAAGCCACTGTTGCCATATAAAAGTGTTTTTTGTATATTTGAAATGGTAAATGGACTTGAGCTTGTATAGCGCTTTCCTGTGCTGGAAATTTAACAATGCAAAAGAAAAGATCACGAGTCAATCAGTGTCTTTGTTTAGTTTAATTCTTCTTGCAAGTAGAAGGAACAAAGCTTCAGAGTGTCAACACAGTCTGAAGGAAAGTTCCAAGTAATCACAATATGCTTGGGTTTATATTCACATGCTTCACAGAAAAACCTTCATGCCTATATGAGGATTGTCGATACAGGCGCAGTCAAATATCAACACGCCGCACAACAGTAATGTCAAGGAAACTTCAAGTCTGAGTTTCTTTGATATTTAGCTATTTGTAAGAAACCTTCATCCTTGGGTAAAGACAAAAACAAGAATATTACGTATTCAATTCTTGTTGCATTTCTCAAGCGAGCTGAAAGTAAAATGTGACAGAAAACAGAATTTTTCCATTACACTACTCGAAGCACTTTTGAGGATCGAACCACAAACCTTCAGGTTGAGAGAAGATCGACTCTACCATCTGAGCCGCACAGCCGCTGTTTCTGATGGGTCTCTTACTATGTTGCAAAGAGAGCAGTCAGGACCTTCTCTTTATAAAGCATGAGATCACTCTTTTTTTTATGATTTAGCGTTACACAAATAAATTACGATTGATTGCCGTCGTTACATTTAATGACAGAAAAGCAAGTCAAAACTGTAAGTTGTCATTCAAATGATTTCATTGAATGCAGACTGTCATTGTTTCGACATAAACAGTAAAAACTGCAAAAACAATCCAATGATGTCATCAAAATTTCAATTGTTGGACCCAAAAGTCCGAAATGATAGACAGCAGTTGAAACTAGCTGCTTTGAGTAATCAGCGTTTGCCTGATCTGTTAAACCAGGATTCATTGGCCCAGAAGTTTCAAGGGTTGACAAACAGAGTTGAAAGTATCAGCTGGGTTACTGAGGGCAAATATAGTTCTGTATGCACCTCGTTCTGTCTCCCTTTGGAGCTTCATGAAGGCTGCTCAGTGCCATGAAGTTTAAAACTGTCTTTATTTTATTGAGGCTGCTTCTCGTCCCACAGTATATCACAGTATATGTGTTGGGCCCCGGGGAGACGATGCACTTAGGTAATAGCATAAAATAATGTAATATACAGCAGAAGGAAGACAACTCCTCACCAGAGAAAAGTATTTACCCGCCAGTGTTATACGTTAAGTTGATATGTTAAATGTTAAATTAACCTCTTATCAGAGATTTTTCTCCAAAGACAAACAAACAAATTTGTAAGAATTTTAGAAGTAGATTCATCTCCTCACTTTAAAGGCTTTATATGCAATTCTTTCATCCAGCAGTTGTCGCTCTTGAGCACCAGCATGAAACCTGAAATGAGCGTGATCTAGAAACACAGTTAAGCAGTGAGTACAGTATGTTATTCTTCTTTTCTCTAGTCCCTCAATTAAACAACTTTTATACACGAGGGGAGGAGTCAGCCGGCCGTCCCGGCGATGTAAACAAAGTGAAGATAGGACTCTGAAAACTCTGAAAACATCACAGACAGTGGGACTCGGGTGTTACACCCATTGTAGACAGTCATGACTCACAGAGTTATTTTCAGAGGATAGACTTGATTTCTACATTTAAGTGTGAAAAATCACATTTAAAGAAGTAAAAATGTAGGCGTACTGTAAGAATGACTTAAGTTTATCAGTTCTAACAGCATTACTGTAAAAGTCATATTTTTGTTTGTTTTATAAAGCGAGAGCAGTTCAATTCAACGATTTGGGGAGAAAAAAAAGCCTCTTTGACACTTTTGTTACTCTGTTAATGCCCCCGGCCTTAATGCAACCAGCTTTGTGGTAATAGTCCTGCCCTGTGCGTGTGGAGCCCGGCTTCACTGCGTTAATGAGACACCATCTGACCTTTCAGAGTTCACCCCAGGAGAACACTGATGCATCCTGGGTAAAGGATAACCAGTGCTCCCAGACTTCCCTGTGATTTACTGGTGCAGTGACTTTACTAATTGTTACATCTATTAAAAAACATCCTCGTTACAGAATGACTTATGTGCAGTGTTACTTTTATTTTCCAGCATGCTAACCTTTTTGTTTGCCTCTGGGTCTCCCTGAAGTCAAACACACACAGACGATGTGCGTGTTGTTTGCTTTATATCCCACCTTTTGTTCAGCGGTAAGCTTCTTGTGAGGTCTGTAAAATAAAAAAGCATGCAGAAATAAAAATAATTTGATCCAGATTCTGTATAGAACATTATCACAATGTTTAACAAAGACAGAAAATCTGGGATTGAGAGCGTTTGGGGGAAAAAAAAAAAAACCCTAATTAAAACTCACTTTATGCATCTGCGAGATATGCATTTTATAAATGGCTTGCACTATTCCAAATCTTCAGCATGCCAAAAATAGCCAAAGACATTAGCATATTTAACAGACAGTAAGTTCAATAAGAGCGAAGAAACTAAACTAAAGGATTCCTGCACAGCTAAGATTATTCCCTATAATGATTCATTACATCCCCACTGGGAGGTAGGCTTCATATTCACTCAATCCGTGTTTAATGTCATATATTAAACTGTGGTGGCACTTCAAATGGGGGGGACGAGTGGGCTCATCTGAGACACATTTAATTAGCGGGACGGAAAATGAAAGGATTGGTGGGGTCCTTACTAACTGTTGTATCTTTAGTAATAGTGCAAGGAG